GATGTTATCAACGTAGATCACGATGAGACCTACGACCTCTCCATCCACCACCTTCCGGAAGACACACGGGTCAACCCTGCACTGCTCGTTTCTATTCTCGATGAGGGCATCGGCAGCTTCAAACCCCCACTCACGGCCACTCTGCTTTAGGCCATACAGGGCACGCTCAACCTTGACCACCTTGCCGGACATGCTGCCACAGCGCCTTCCGGGAACCTGAGGTATATTTGTTGTTGTAGCTTAGCGTGGATGTACGCTTGCTTCTCATCCCAGTGAGCGAGTTTCTTGCCCTTTTCAGTGGCTACGGCAATCACCGTCTTGATAGACGCTGCAGACGGGCACGCTGAGGATGAGTGGTGGAAGTCGATGCCGGGGATTTGAGAGAAACCCCGCGCAACCATACGGGCCTTGAAGTCGACTATCAGGCCCTCCTTATTCGTCTTCAAAGCGAACACCCACTTTGAACCTATGGCCTTCCGCCCCTCGGGCAGCTCCTTGACCTTGGTAAAGGTTCCAGTCTTGTCGTGGCCATCTATCTCTTTCTTCATGGCCGCCTCCCACAAAAACTTGTACTTGGAACACATCATATCCTTGTACGTCATCGGTACTGCTTCCACATCACTCGGCTGCTGCCTGATTGGCGAGGTCATACTTAGCTGTGGGTCTGGGAGTGGTTGTGAAGACCAGCTGGCGTCGACCTCGGCCCCGAACACCTGATGTTCCGGGCCCAACACCTCCTGCATCTTGCGCCTGTACATCTCCTCCANTGCTGCCTGATTGGCGAGGTCATACTTAGCTGTGGGTCTGGGAGTGGTTGTGAAGACCAGCTGGCGTCGACCTCGGCCCCGAACACCTGATGTTCCGGGCCCAACACCTCCTGCATCTTGCGCCTGTACATCTCCTCCATACGGCGTGTCTGCTCCTCGTCCCACTGCTCCTTCACAAGCGAGTTGCACATGTAGTCCTCAACAATCCCCGTCCCGCCAGTTTCCAGGATGGTCGCCAGCAGTGCCTCTTCCGGGTACGATGTTTCTCCGGGCCCCGGCATCTCCCCGGCACCTTGCATCTCCCGGGTCTGCTTCCGCGTGCGGCCACTCTCAAGCCCATGGCGCAGCGGGCCAGCGTTCGAGGCGCCCCAGAGGAGTTTCTTCCCTTCTAGCCCGCGGGGGTAGCGGTCGTCGGCTGGATCATACTTCAACTCCTCGAGGTTCTCGGAGTCGCCGGAATCAGAAACCGCTACCGCCGTCCACACCTGGGTCGCCGGACTCTTCGCCACCCGGGCCGCCGGCACCGCCAGCGCCACTGCTGCTGCTGCTGCTGCTGTCGGTGGGACTGTTACTGCCTTCGCCGAAGTCGCCCCTTCCCGAAGGGGGCGACGGGGGAACGCTGCCTCCGTCCCCCGGAACCCCGTTGCCGGATGCCGTCGGCGCCTCCTCGCGCACAAACGGCGTACCTTGCCCTGGCCCACGAGCCTCCATCACGTCGAGGTCGGACTCACTCTCTGAGTCTCTCTTTCCCACCTCAACCTTGGCGTGATGCATCCGCTCTGCTCTCGCCCTCCCCGCCCTCCTCGTCATTTGCGAGAGGTAGCAGCTGCGGGGGAGCGGACGATGCAGCGGGCACGCGGCGCCAGGCGAAATTGCGGGTGGTGACTACGGTTCCAGCTTCGGTTAGCATGCGAAAGCAGTCGCGGGGATGATTGTGGGCAGGGCCAAGGTACCATCCTTTTTCGCCCTTGGGTCGCGACTTTGCTTTTCTTCTCGACTTGAGCGCGGCTGGTTTGAGATACGGGTATGTCGACCCGACAGGCGGTGGGGAGTCGTGGAACATCTCGTAGGCGGATTTGTCTCCCTCATTTGATTTGGTGGCGGTGCAGTTCAGCTGATGCCATGCACACGAAATGGCCTCGGCCCACAACCCGGGGTGGTTCGGTGCGTCGGGGAACAGTTGCGTCGCTTGGATGCGTGACGCAAGCGCGGCATCAGTGATCAACCCTAGCGCTCTCTCCGCTACACCGTTGTATTTTGGGGTGTGAGGGGGGGTGAACTCTTGTTTCATGCCGTGTCTGCGGCAAACTTCCGCAAACTGCCCCTGGAACTCGCCGCCACCGTCGGTACGTGCGATAGAAACCTCACACGGAACCCCTTTCGTTCGGTAGTCCGCCAGGAACTTCTCAAACCCAACCGCTGCGTCAGACTTGTGTTTCAAGAAGGAAACACGCGCCCAACGGGAGGAATCGTCTCTGATGATCAGTGTGTACCAGTTGCCAACAATGCTCCTGGTTTTCTCTTTCCCCCCAAGTCGAGATACACGCGAAGCAACTTCTTAACTGCGTGTGTGCTCGTGCTCTTCTGGACGGGTTTCACCTGTTCCTCGGACATCGAACAGCCAAGACAGGGTAGCAGCGCTCCATCCGTCAGCTGCACTCCCTGCTGCTCCGCCGTGATCCTGAGCAATGTCTCGTGGGCATGGCCGTGCGCGAGGTGGTACTCGTTGAGGTCAGTGGGATTGGCTGCTTCATCATCGCCAGGAACAACGAGTGCGGCACAGGCGGTGTGTAGCGTTGGCTTTATGTGACAGCCTCGTTGGGTCAGCAGCTTTCCAGTCCGGGTGAACCACACCTCCCCCCCGGCTTTCGTGGTCAGCGTGAGGCCCCCCTTCATCCCCGATTACGTGTGGCCCTCCTCCGCCAACGAAGACAGCGAGAGGAGGTTGTAGGGGGCCTCTGGTACATGGGCAGCATTCAGTACTGGGACGGGTACTCCACCATCTTCCGTCTGTAGGACTAAGGTCACATCTCCGTATCCTAGAAGAGGAACGGGGGCCTTGTCGCCTCCGATCCCCTTCACCAAACCGCTACGCTCACGGTAGTTCACGAAGTTGTCTGCACATCGGAACATGGAGCACGTGGCCGATGTGTCGGCCACGTACACCGCCTGGCCTTGCTCCAGAACCCCCACTAGACCTACTTCACCAACGGTACCAAACTCGCCTGGGGGGACTGCCACGGCACAAAACGCCTGGTCTTCCACGGAGTCCACGTCGCTCTCATGCTCCACCACTTGCGCTAGGACGGCCTCCTCCGTCGCGCACTTTTCTTTGGTGTGGCCGCACCCCTCGCTGCGCGCACACCACGGCACGAAGTCCTTCTCGTTGGTAGTGCAGCCGATCGCTTGATGTCCACGATGTCCACACCTAAAGCACCGGCCCGGGAACTTATAGTCCCCGCCACCGCCGCCATCGGCGCCTCCACTGCTGCTTCCCTTGCTCTCCTCCACTCCTCCGGATCCGCCTGAGCGGCCGCCGCGACCGCCGCTGGAACGGGGATGATGAGTGAAAGCAAGAAGACACTCTTGTGTCAACCAGCGGCTGCCAAGGGGGCCGACAAATGGGATCACGACTCTGCTAGCCCCTGAAACGGACCTCCAAGGCCATCTCCATTTGTCCACGCAGGCCTACCTGCTGCTGCCGCTCTGGCTCCTTGAGGTAATTCTTGCTGGTGAAGCAGCAGCACCAGTCGATCTTGCCGGCCTTCTGACGGTTGGCGTCCGTGGTCAGAAGCGCCACGAAAGCTGTCATCTGGGCAAAAAATAGTCGGGGTGGGAATGGGGCACGGGCTTAAGAGTCAGGCTGACAACATAGTACTAGCGGTCCCATGAGGATCTCCACCTCAAAACACACGCAAAGCGTGATACTCGACAACGAGCACGTGTGCGTGGGGTGGGGCTAGAGTCGGACTCATGATAATATCGGTCCCACGGACATGTTCGCCTAACAACACGCGTAATACTCGAAATTCGACATGAAGCACGTGTGTGAGGTGGGCTAGAGTAATTAACGACGAGAACGGGCGTTGCGCTTCGTTGGCATGACCCAATTCTACAGCAGCGCGAATGCTTCGTAGCGTATATCGCAAGAACTACTGTAGCCTGCTTGTTGCTGCCTGTATGAAAAACTGAACGGCGTGGTAGACACGAGGCGAGAAAGGAAAACACATGCATGCTTGTACGTGCTCCATCCGGACTATGTCAGATTGTGTAGCTCATACAACGACTCTTCTCTCTTACCTGGAGGAAGAAGTCAAACAAAATAGCGGTGGTGACGTAGAGGCAGAAGTACTCCACCGCAGGAAGGGACGACATGCTGCCCAGGAGGAAGGCGAAGAAACGTGTCTGCGAGGAGAAAGGGCGGGAAAGCGGCTGCAATTCATGATGCCGGTCCAAAATAAACAACAAAGAGGCGAACAAGGGCGCCATCCCACAAGTAGTGAACACGCGGCGTTGACGTTTGGGTATCAACACCCGTAACATTTGCACTGCCCACGCTTGGTGGTTGTCTTGGGAATACTGTGGAGTGCGGAATCACTCTGGAGATCAAGTAACCGTTTGGGGTGACCATACAATGTTACTCAACGCAGCAAAGAAAAATGTGTCTTGCTTCGTGTACTACTATGACACCTTGGAGGGGGTTTTACGCCCTTCTGATGCTGTTAGAGCTACACAATCGTTGAAACAAATTTGATACAATCATATTCACAATTGCTAGTCTAACTCACAGGTGACGGACACCCCGCAGCGCTTGACTCCGACGGCGACCCTTTCCTCCACGGCGAGCGAGGGGCCGGTGTGGTCGTACGCCGCGACGATGAAAAATCTGTAGGCAGAGGTAGAGCAGGGGCGACCAAAGAGAGAGAGAGATAGAGACAGACAGACAGACAGACAGACAGACAGACAGACAGACAGACACATAGACACACAGACACACAGACGAAACGATCGGAAAAAAATGAGCGGGAAGGGGGCACATTGGCGGAGAAAGGTCCAAAGGTGAGAGCAGGGTCAGTACAGTACCGTGAAGCGCCAGGCACACTTTGGTAATGTTCTGGCGCGGGGAAACAAGAGGATGTAGGGGATGAGGGAACATCGGTAGCCAGGTGCACGTCACGCCGCTGTCAAAGGTGGTAAGGACGGCCTCTGGCAAACAACAAAAATCATACCGCAACAACAACCCAAACAGACAACACAACAGTCCCTCCTTCATAGAACTTTGTAGGACCTGGCTGGCCGGCTGCCTGCACACTTTCCATGTCGTCCACTCCAATGCCGAGGAGAATGAAAGGGAGGATTTACGACAGCGACGTGAAGGGGATACCTGCGACCGCGGCCGCGGCGTCGTCATCGTTCTGTGGAAGGTCCGGACGTAAATGTGCAGACCGGCAGGCAAGCAGACAGTAGGCGGGCGGCCTCAAGGGGAGGCACACGCGGATGGATGGGGCAGAAGGGTTGAAGAAGAGCGATGAACAAGTTCACGCTCGAGAAAGACAAAAGAGACACTGCGTGCCTTCTTTCGGAACATAGAGGTGAGGATGACGAGAAATCGTCCAGACGATGCCGCGTGATGATCGGCAGTGCCCTCTTGGTTCTCACGTCAACACTTTTCATCCGGACAGGAAGCTAAGGCTACGTGCACCTGGGTCCTTGGTATCACATCTTTCGGGGGGGGAATCTTGATAGGCGGCTTTTAGGCCGTGTTCTTGGCACACCATGAGAAATAGCTCAGCCATGAAACTGCGAGGGAAAAAAGACGCCGTCTAATCACACGTCCAGTCAGTGAATGGGTCTTCTCGTGTTTCTCCTGGCGCCATCCGAGTTCGACGGGTTTGATCTACGACACGAGTTGACTCAGCCGATCGTCCAGAGGCGGGAAACCGTCAACAGCCTTTTGCTGTTGGGGCACTAACTCACCGAAGCCGCTGGTGAGCCCATAGCAGGCCAAGCCTGCCGCAACGACGAACATGACGCTGCGGACTCCCAACCAGCTCCTTTGCTTGACGGGTCCGCTGCAGCACCAGCCGAGCGCCACCGACTCGAACGCAATCATCAGAACGTCTGCAACGAAACGCACGGAGAAGAAAGTGGAAGATGGATGTTGAGCAATACAACAACAAAGTGACGATGTCAACCGTTCTACAGGCACCGACTGGTCCAAAGCAGCCTCAAAGGAAGGTCAACACATGAATATTGATTCTATTGCCATTGGAACATCTGTAGCACGACACACCACGAGGTTAGACAAGCCCCCCCGTCCGAAAACTAACTTAAAAGCAGTGCTATGTCGCTTGTACAGAAACTCGGCAGTTTCATGTCTCGGTCGCTGTCACAACATCGCTTGGCCGTTCTCTCACAGGTGGTGATAAAGAGAAACATTTCGCCGGTTGCGGGCTCAATGAGGGCGTTGTCGCTTGACCGGCTGGTGAGGTAGAACACGCCGACAACATCGAAATCGTCCGATATTCCGTCCGTCGCGTCCTGGCAAGAGAAAAACACACCAGCAATACATCCGGACAATACGTAAAAGAGAGAGAGGGGGGGGGGNGGGGGGGGGGGGAGACAGAGACACGGACAGAGACAGAGAGAGACAGACAGAGGGAGGAGATAAACGTAGTGTGACAAACCTTGCACCACGTTACCGTACCATGTATTCGATAAAGTTACACCATTAGACTAGTCAGCGCTGACTAGTCTAATGGTGTAACTTTATCGAATAAAAGATATGCTCAGAGCTCATTTGCACCCGGCTGGATCACTTGGGTCTGTATGGCTTGGATCTCCGGGGACGGACCCCTCGCCTAACGCTGATAGTTCTAGGTGCACTTTTTTTCCAAAGTAAAGTGATCCAGCCGGTGTTTGAACTCGTGCGGGTGTCCTTTACTCGATTAAGTTACACTTTTATATATCTCTTACTCGATAAAGTTACACCATTAGACTTGTCAGCCGCTGACTAGTTTAATGGTGTAACTTTATCGAATAAGTGATCGATAATTCGGGTGGCTCAGTTGTGTGTGATGGGAGTGTAGAGCAGCTCGGCCATGACGGGCCGTAGGGGTAGGTAAAGTCGTACAGACGTGCTGGAACCGTGTTGTATCCGTGTTGTGTTCATCGGGGGGGTGCTTGAGCTCGTCATTCCATCACGGCATCAAGTCACGCATAACGCTCAAACACCCCAAACGAATCTCCATGAATGTCCACCAATCTACCACACTCCCAAGGAAAACATAAAGAAACTTCTTGTTCTTCCGTAGTTCGCCACTGCAATACCCGCATATGCATACGCAATATACCACCCGCATGCCATGCTACGAGTATATCGAATACCATGTTCCTTACGACCGTTAGAACANTATATCGAATAGCCCCCCTGCTCGTATGCATCGTCATGCTCCGGGAAAATATCATAGTCATCCTTCTCATACCCGTTCATCCCAAAACACAACCAAAACCAGGACAAAATTCAAAATCCCAACACCAAAACAATACGTCCGAAAATAATCAATCGCATACCGACTCTTCCAAATCAACAAGAAAAGTCCCAAACACTAACTCTCCAAAACACTACCATCTCCACTTGACTCTCTCCTTCTCTTGTTCAAACCCGTACATATTCTCTCTCTTCCACTCCACGGCAAAACACGATTTGATCCCAAAACACCTCTTTCACTGCAAATTCATGCAAAGTCTCTGTGCAACGCAAAAGATTCCTTGCTGATAGCCTTCGTCAAGAAATCTGCATGCTGAAACTCCGACGTCACATGCGTAATCGAAATCTCCTTCCTCTCTACCAGTTCCCTGATAAAGTGATGCCGTACATCGATGTGCTTCGAGTTTGAGTTCGTGATCGGGTTGTGCGCAATCTGAATCGCTCCCTGATTATCCTCGAAGACCGGAATGCACGGCATACCTGTATCTGGCAACATAAAACGCCAAACCTGCCTCAAGAAAAGCACTTCCTTCAAGACGTCGGCAAATGCCACATACTCTGCTTCCGTTGTGGAGAGCGTAACGCACTTCTGCGTCCTCGAAAACCAAGTCACACACCCACCACCACACATCACTAGTCCTCCTGAGACCGACCTACAGTCTGCTCCCTTGCTTGCATAGTCGGCATCCACAAACACCTGCATGCTCATGCCAGTGACCACTCCCCTCTCAAATGTAATCCCCATCCAACTCGTCCTACGCACGTACCCTAAAATACCAAGTGCTGCCTTCCAGTGCACCATCTTGGGAGACGCGCAATACCGCGCTACTGCTCGTACTGCATTCGCGATGTCCGGCCTGGTTTGAGTGGCCAACCACATCAGAGATCCTACCAACTCGCGAAACGGGACATCAGCACACGCTTCGTTTTCGTCAAAGTCGGTGAGCTTCACGCTCACAGGCAAGGGCACACTCTTCCCCCACTCAACGCCGTACTCTGCAGCCAACTCTTCTGCAAACCTTTGCTGCGAGATCCTCAAAAGGCCTCTCTCTAGATCTCTCTGGTAAAAGCACGCGGAGTACCACCTCAACTCCCCAAGGTTTTCACGGGGACCATCTCATTGCGATCACTGCCAAACTTGTCACACCTCTCCTTCTGCCCTACGGCAAAAATNAGTTCACGAGTGCTGCCTTCGTCGCGTTCTGCGACGCCGCTGGCATCCGGCGCGAGTACACCGCGCCCGACACCCCGAAGCAGAATGCGGTCGTGGAAAGCGCCATCTGGCGAGCCATGAAGGGGGGCCACGCCGCCCGCCGCCACGTCCTCTCCATGGGCCACTTCGACCTCGCCTCTATCCCCGGTATGGACGCCAACGGACACCGGCTGTGGCTTGCATCGGCGATCTGGGCCTCCGGCTGCTTCAACCGTTCCGCGACGTCGGCCAACCCGGCCTGGATGTCGCCGTTCGAGGCCTTCTTCGGACGCAAACCGCCGCTCAAGGTCGTCCCCTTTTTCCAGGAGGGGATGATGCGCGTGAAGCGCGCCAGCAAGGCGGACGTCCAATCCGTTCGTTGCTTCTACCTGCACGGAGCGCGCAACCACTCCGACGCCACTGCCGTCGTACTCCGCGCCGACACCGGAAGGATCTGCCTGTCCAACAACGTCGTGTGGATCAACCACCGCACCGCCGTGCCGGCGCCGGTACCGGCCAGCGCGGAGGGTTCTTTGGTCACTGCGGCGCCCTCGCCGGCCGCCGCCGCTCCTACAGCCGCTGCCGCACCACCACCGCCATGGACATCGAGTTGTGTGTGATGGGAGTGTAGAGCAGCTCGGCCATGACGGGCCGAAGGGGTAGGTAAAGTCGTACAGACGTGTTGGAAAACGTATTGTGTTCATCGGGGGGGTGCTTGAGCTCGTCATTCCATCACGGCATCAAGTCACGCATAACGCTCAAACACCCCAAACGAATCTCCATGAATGTCCACCAATCTACCACACTCCCAAGGAAAACATAAAGAAACTTCTTGTTCTTCCGTAGTTCGCCACTGCAATACCCGCATATGCATACGCAATATACCACCCGCATGCCATGCTACGAGTATATCGAATACCATGTTCCTTACGACCGTTAGAACAGGTGATGGTGACTTGTTTGGTAGCCTTCCCATTTGGAAGGAGCCTCGACCGGAAAATGGTGGCCGGCAGCGGTTCGACCATCGGAAATAGAGCCTGCAAGTCTGCAAGAGGTAGAAGCCTCCGGGCTGACGATACTGTCAAGAAGCACGGTGACCACTAGACCTCTAGTCAGCGCTGACTAGTATTCTAGTGGCCATCGTGCTTCTTAGCAAGAGATACCCCGGACATTAGCTTTTGTTGGGAAGGACGATGACCACTAGAATACCAGTCAGCGCTGATTTGTATTCTAGTGGTCATCGTGCTTCTTAACAGATACCACAGGAAAGAGGGCGAAGGTGCATCGACTATGGTGAAAGGCAACTGGAGAATACCGCGGGAAACGGGTCCCACAGGAAAGACGCCAAGGTGCACCGGTAACGGTGACAGCCCACGGACTCATACCTTGGGAATCTCGTCCTCCATAACAAGAGTTGGGGATAAAAAACACCTACATGGATGCTGCGCGCTCCACGGAGTGCCTGGAAAGCAGAGTTCTTGTCAAATTCACATACCTGAAACGCCTGATTCCAGTCGAAAACATCCTTGTTGATGTCCCCGCCCTCATCAGCGTCAGACCCGAGCGCATACGCCTGCGCCTCGGCGGTCACAAAATGCGGTAAAACTAGTTAATGGTACACGCCAACATCGCGATGGGCACTGCTATCGCCGTACAAGCGAATCGATAGAGCACGGTATGCAAGAGAGAAGAGGGTAGGAACGGGCGGACGCCATCCCCGTCTCGTCGACAAAGGCTGAAAGTGCCGATCAATCGAAGCCGATGCCGGACCAGACGACACCGCTGACACGTAACACAAGTGGTTGTAGCAGCTACATTCGATGCCTGTATCGTCATCGTCGTCGTCCACATCTTGGCTGGCTTGGTCAGCGTTGCGTTTCAGTTCAAACACGGGGGTTTGAGCATGCCTTTTTCATGCTACACGTTCGACCAGATGAAACATTGGTTTGAGCCTTGGTGGTACTTTCCAATTCCAACGGGCACCTTTTCCTACACATCCAGCCTGATCAATCACTAGCTTGATCGCCGGGGAATCGTTTCGGTGGGATCGTTTCCACGCTACACCAGCCCAACCTGATCCATCTAACACTGGGCCGTAGGCACCATCGCCACGAGGATGCGGTCGGTCACCTGGATGATGGTCCTTGCTCCGGAAATGTTGCCGTCGTCATCGTAGGTGATCCCGTTGCCGAAGAGGGCTTGCTGATTATCCGCCGACCCGTCTCGAAAGGTGGTCGCGTTCACGGCCGCAAGGACATCTGCATCGCTTGATACGGATGCCTTAAGAATGGGTTGGGTAAGACGGGGGGGCACGCGGACAACGGCATTCAGGGTGGACGGCGCGGGGAGAAAGTGCGTGGGGGGTGGAGACCCTGCAGATCGCAGAGGAGCAGGTAGCAACGGGGCAGCCCGGTGTAAAAATGTAGTTCTGGTGTAATGACCTGTTGCTCTGAGCGGGAAGACGAAAAGAGAGATGGGTACAACCTACCGTTGCAGCAACCGCGTGACCCCCACAAGAAGACGGTATGGTTCGGCGCGAACACTCCGTCTTGCTTGTCGTTCCACGGCTTGAGCTGCAATTTTTGCACTTTCAATGGCACACACAAGAATTCTTGAACAACGTACCTGTCTGTGTCTTTTGAGGCACAAAAGGCGTCATGCAGACGATTGTGGCTCATATCCCCGCGATGCCCGATCAAGAAACAGTTCTGCGATGTAGGTACCTCGTAGGTGTCGAAATCTCCCCAGAAGCGAGTGATCCCAGGGAACGTTGTTTCACACGTCACACCGCCCAGTTCTTTAGTACACACGTCGACCTATATTTTGCCACCAGCCTTTAACCGCACAACACACGTTTGAAGGAATTGATACGACATAAAGAATGGAAGCGGAATGGTATTGATTGTACGTATGCATGCGGGGCATGCCGACCAACTTCGAATAATATTCCCGACAGAATACGTCGTTCTACTCACGACGACAATGACATCTATGACCGAAGACTTTGGCAATGGGAAACGAAGCCAATATTATCAACATCAATCATTTCCAGGGCTGGTCTACCTCGACGATCATGACGATCGCGTCCAGCTCCCATATCGCATCGACCGATTCCTTAGTCAGCACGCTGCCCGTTTCAAATGGGCTCTCCACCAGAAAGGAGGCAAGCTTGCCGTCTAAAAAACAAGACGCATGGCATTCAGAGACGGTATTGGGCGGATTAGCACGCGAGCACAGGTGAAGTGATGAGCAGCAACCGTGGTGGGTGGCGCACAAGGTGGAAGCAAGAAACAAGACGTGGGGCATGTTTCGTGGTGCCCGTTTCGCGAGAGGGGGTACGCAGGTGCTCAGTAACAACATTAGAACAACACGGAGGCACCGCCAACACGGGTTCCACGGGGTCCAGTTGGGTCGGTATTCCTTCACAGCTAGGCAAGCAACGGACGGAAGTGGCGGGCACAGACTACCGCCAAGCACCGAACTAGGAAAACAACGGCACTTGAGACGGCACACAGCAAGAATGAGATGCTGTGTTTGGAGCGGGCAGCTTGTTGTCAGAAGCGCAGAGAAGAAAGGTTGACTCAAGACCTTGGTATATTGACGAGTGCGCCGGGGATGCTAGCCCATGCACAGCAGAAGGGGGACCGCCCCTTTACCAACACATACCGCCAATGATACACGAAACCCCCTAAATCCCCGTAGATCAGTATTGAGTGCTGAGCACCGCCAAACAGCCCCCCTGCTCGGTACTCGATATGATCCAACAATCTCTTCAATCATCACCAGGGAAAAACGGTGATAATGTCAACACGAAACACACAACAGTCGTTCACCATACCATCCACCCAAACCTCACGATGTCGAATCATTTTCCTTCGGCATAGTCTCCTCAAGAAGGTCCATCAAGGATGAATCAAATCTTTAATCCATAAACAGAAATAAATGCAGCACAGTCAAAATGAAGTAAAACCCCTGATGTGTACGCAAACATCAAGGAAAACCCACGACTTACTGCGGATACCTGAACATGAACCGATATTCAACAGCCCCCCTGCCGGGACATCCTTCCTCCAACATGAAAAATGCAATCAAAATCTACAAGGCAATAGTCTTGTGGCACAAGAAGAAGCCAAGCAGAAGCCAAAATCCAAACATCAAACATCAACCCATGCAACGCCAAAATACTGCTTGTTGTACTGCAGCGGGGATCATGGCAAGACATTCCCCCCCTCATGATTGTCGATGGCCGTGCAACCAGCAGTAATTCTGCAAAACGTCTACGAATTTTGCATACCTAGTACTTCCAGCCCACAGATCCACAGCTGCATAGCTCAAAGCCCCCGAAAAGAAAATGACAGAAACAGGCCGCCAGAAAATAGCAGAAAGAGTATCAAAACACACCATAATAGACGCAACGCCGTCCTATCAAAGCCGTCAGCAATAGATACTTCCTGGGAACGACCCCCCCGCTCGAAACACAATGAACGAAAAAGAAACAAAAAACAGCAGCGATAGCCAGCCGCCCTGCGGCCACATAGAAATGGGAGCAGACATCGTCAACGCAAAACGAAATCAGCGCAGATTCATCACGAAATCGCGGTGAGCGCAAGAAGCTTCTTTGGACAGCGGTTTGGTCAGAAAAACCGCTCGGTGAAGGTCTGATCGCACATGCACTACACGAAACTCCCCCTGCGCTACACGCTCTCGGACAAAATGGTGTCGAATGTCGATGTGCTTCGAGTTCGGGGTAGTAGCCGGGTTACTCGCCAAGCGGATAGCCCCAACATTATCCTCGTGAACCGAAGTACACCCCACGTCCCGGTTCGGAAAAAGAAAACTCCACACATTCCGCAAAAAATAGCCTCCTTCATCCCATCGGACAGAGCCACGTACTCGGCTTACGTCGAGGACAGGGTAACGCTCCTTTGCGTCCTAGAAAAATACATCACACATGCCCCCGCAAACATCACCAATGCACCAGAATCCGACCGTCGGTCGGTGGCCTTGCTGGCAAAATCTGAATCGACAAAAAGCTCCATGCTGTCACCCCTATCCACACCCCGCTGAAAAGTAATTCCAAGTCCATTCGTATATCTAACGTACATCAAAATATGCAGCGCCGCTTGCCAGTGCAACCGTTTCGGCGTCTGGGTATACCTCGCAACGGCCCGTACCGCGTTGAGAATGTCCGGGCGAGTCTGATTCGCCAGCCACATCAAGTGTCCTACCAACGACCGAAATGGCTCTTCCACGTCAGGTTCTTCAGCGTTAAACACCTCAAGCTTCAAACCAACGACCATGGGGGTCTCCTTGTTCTTCGTAACGCCACACTTGGAAACAATCTTCTTTGCTACAGCCTGCTGTGAAATGGTCACCGTGCCTAACACCACGTCACAAGAAAAAACGGCAACCCGCGTACCAACGCCGTTCACCGAGGTTCGAGATGCGAACATACCGGTTGAGGTCTCTACACCAAATGGGTCACACCGGCTCTTACGCCCGATAGAAAATATGTCATGTACGTGTATCACAACCACCATTGTCACCACACCATCTTCAATCAGACATTGAATTCCGCGCATCAAGTGTTTGTGCCACGTGCGCGAAGCCTGACGCAACCCGTACAGACTTCGCCCCAGCTTTACCACTTACCAGAAAGTGCACCGCAACCCTGGGGGAGACGAACGAACACATCCTCATCCAACTTGGACTGAACGAAGGCCTGCTCAGCATGAAAATGACACAAGTCCCATCCCGACTCGCACGCAACTGCAGCTAACATCCGAATGCTAGTGATGGACGGGCACAGGGAAAAGTCTCGGAGACGTTAAGACCACCACGCTGCCCACACCCCCCAGCAACTGATCCAGCCTTTGCACGCACAGAATGACCACATTCATCAATCTGCCACGAATACATCCACTTCGGCAAAATGACGTTGGTTCTTCGTTGCTAGACCCTCCCGTGCTCCACGAAACTACCCACAGATCTCAGCCCAGCAAACTCCTTGCGCTCCGCCTCCGCCCAGATGTGGTTGTGTGGGCCCGCTCGCGCGTACGCCTCCGGTATCCCCAGATTGCGAGCCAGCCCCCGACGGCATCTCAAGCGGGGCATTATCCGGTCCAGCCGCCGTGTCGAGAGACCGCATGATGTCGGCCTGAGAAGCGAGAAGCGCACAGCTCCCCGGCGCCATCCCGCTCCGCTCCGCCTGAGCCCGTGTCACCACCGGTGTGACCACATGGTCCCGACATCCCCATTCCGGCAACGACCCACCCTCATCAACCATATCCCCTCAGTCTTCGACCACCGGGGGTGGCGATGCCGAGCCTACCGTGGACGCACTCCCGGCTACCCGTGGAACCACCGCCGGTACCTGCCCACACTTCGCCCCACGCTCCGCCACTCG